TTTTTCTTCGTTTCTTCATCGGTTAAAATAAGCGAACGTAACAATCAAACTATGTATGTAGTCATGTCTGATTAAAAACGGTCTTCTTCTACTTGCAGATTTAAGAATGTTTTGCGCCACTCGACGAAGCCACTGTCCCAAAAAATCGCGTTGAAAATTTAAAATACAGAATTATTGTAATTATCTAAGTTATATCAATTTAAAAAATCTAAATCTCCAAAATTATTTTAGATGGAAGAGCAATCGAGAAAAATTTCTAAGATTATAATTTGAATTACTTGAATTTTAAATGCAAGCTTCAAATATAGCGTGACCTTTATCTATAATAATAATAACATACCTTTATATATAACTGCATTGAATCTTATTTATTAATCTTTATATTTTATGCTATATATATATATTTGCTTATTTATTTGATATCATTTTATTTATGCAATGTATTTTCATGAAAAAAGTCAGCAAATTTAGCAAAGATGCATTCGTGTCGCGTTTTGTCTTATAACAACCTAACATGAGTGTTATTTCGCGCAAAACTGTAAAAATATATAAATAAATTTTTATTGTTATATAAATAAATGTATGTAAAAACTCTTGAAAATCAAATATACTAATTGTACGCAAAATGCAGCTGTATTTTTTTATACAATCTTTTTTTATCATTTCTCCGGCAAGAAAAAAAATAGTGAATATAATGTTGGAAGTTGAATCAAAAAATTTAATTATATTTCTTGCATTTTTCGCGCTTATTTACTCCATGTACGCTTATCTCACTTTGAATGAAAAAGATGCAAAAAATATAGCTAAAACAAACAGGCCGTGTTGAAATGTGCTCAGCACTTGACGTTTGAAATCTTTGCTGCTTGAATGCTTTCTGATTGGTCAATCAAGCATTCGTAGCATCATATCGTACAACTTCGATTCAAACAATATTAAACGGATTTTGCGACAAACCGAAATCACGGAAATAGTTTACTTTGACCTGCTTTTCCCAAAAAATTTCTTTATGACACTCCAGGCAATATTATCAATTACAAATATTGCAATTACGATATAATTCTTTCTGCGTATCTTCGCGATAAAATAAAAATCCTCTATCTCCGATAGAGATTTTTGTGGTCTTTTTCGTTCTGTGATCTTTAGGGTTGATACATACACACAAAAAATCAACCAATCATGCATCTAGTACGTAACGTTCTTTTATCAGACATTTGATTAATCAATTTCTCTATGCGATTATGCAAGTTTGGGGATAAACCCTTAGTTCATAGTTATGTTACATCCCTGCATGATATCAGAGAGAAGCTTGAGAGGGGTCACGCCGCCGTTTTTCAAGACACTTTTTCTACCTGATATAGTAGCGTCAACTAGATTGATTTTAGAGCCGGCGGAACTACATGGCCAGATTCACTTTTCGATGCTACGGTAAAACAACCGGTTGGTGCATGTGCTAGATCCACAATATGAATAATATAGCATTAATTTATTATTAATTATATTATTTAAATAATTTTTTAATTTATAAATTCAGTTGGATGCACTAGTGCGCACTGATGTACATTAAAAGCTATTACATTTAAGTTTATATAAGCATAATTTATATATAAATATAAGTAAAACGATAAGATAATTATTAATACTATACAATTTTGAAAATAAACATAACAATAGATACGCTTTGCTTAACACTATTTTTGCTCGAAGAACAAGATTCTTCGTTTTTATTTGTCCATCAAACGCTTCGGAGCAGAAATAGTGTCTAACGGAGTGCATTTATTGAATATATAAAAACTTTTATAAAATTTTTATATTTCTTATATTTTTAAACGAAATTTTATTTGATTTATAAGATTTTTGCAAATGAAATGACATAAAAAAACGCGACATTATTCGGCTAAATTTCAATTAGATATGAATTTAAAAATTAGATAAAATATTTTTTTCCTTATCTAAGAAAAAATTATCCGAATTATATCGTGTTTAATGTTATTTTAATTGTAAAAATCTTATATATAAT